TGTTCATATTAGTCAACAGTCTTTGTGAAAGCAGCAGTTAAGTGGAAACCATATTGTTCAAATCAACAGGGCTCTTAAGAAAATGATTCCTGTTTCAATAGACACCTCGGAAATGCATGTCTAATTACTGTACAGTAGCGTGGTAAGAATTCTCCATCAATAGATCTGTAGCTTAAAGTGCAGCCAAGCGTGGATTATGGGAGGATTGTCACTCCTGTGTTATTCACTATGGCTCAGCCACACCTTCAAAACATTCCTCCCTGCTGACACAAAAGACAACAGGAAATTACCTGTTTCCACTGGCATTAATAACTCCTATTTTAATCTGCCATTTAATGCTTTGTTAAGCTGTTCCTGATGATTGTTTGAAGAGGCAGAGGAACATGTTCTTCTGCCGTCTGTCTCCTTTCAGTCTCTTTCACTGTTTTATGAGCCTATTCATGTGGAGGCACAGTTATAAAGCACACCTTAAGATGTTTACATACTTACACATGCATTAATGCGTGATGGTTCACGGGCTACTGCCTTTAACAACACACACTTACTGAGGTCTGGGAATGTAGTGAGGACAATCATACAGGTTTTAAACAAGCCCAAAGGTTAGACACTTGTATTGAAAAGAGAAAACAAAGACAAACAAAAGTCAATGTATTACTCAAACTGTATAAATATTAAACTATCCAAAAAAACTCAATGTTATTCTACCACACTTACCTTACATTGTGCTGGCCAATACAATTTTCTTGTTGTGAGGATGTTTAATGTTTTTATTTTATTTAGAGCCTATCACAAAGTAGCAATAAATACACAAGGCTTGTCTTTCTATAGTTTTATCAAATCAGTTTTGAGAGATTTAAACTCCTATGTCACTTTCAAGTGAATAGTAAACGGACTTGAGCTTATATAGTGCTCCGCTAGTCTTCCGATTACTGAAAGCGCTTTCACACCACTTGTCACACTCACCCATTCATACCCTTTACAGGGTCGATTGAGAGAGGTTGGACATAAGCAAAAACTTATTTCATACATGTTTGACAAGCAAAACATTTAATACAACGGCTTAAAATGAGAAAACAAAATGAAGGTTTGTCATATATTTGCAACTTGGACATATTACCAACTCCAGCAGCACATAATCATTGTTACTGAATGTGGTGTAGTGATATAAAATACGACGCTTTCACAATTTAAATGAAAGGAAAGCACGGCAAGGAACACTTTGGAAAGCAGATAAAAGTAAGAAGCAGCTTCATTATGTGCATGAAGCTTGAACTTATCCTGCAGCAGTCACAGGATATATACCTCGGAGTCGTTACCCCCGCCCACTTGCTCGCTGTACATTTTTCCTGAATTTTACCTCCAGCGTTCACACATCAGCTCATTCAGACTTCTACCCTGATGGTAGTGATCACTGTATCATCAGAAGTAACTAATCCCATTCATACACCGCCACTGAAGCAGTGGGAGCAATTCAGGGTTCAGTGTCTTGCCCAAGGACACATCGGACATGTTGCTCAGCTGGGGATCTCGACCTTCCGTTTGAGAGGTGACGACTCGACCAACTGAGCCACAGCCGCCCTGTGAAGTTAGCATCACATTTTTTGTCTCGTTCCTTAAAATCAAAATGAAGGATTTTACTCGCCGATGTCTGGAATATATAAGAGGGAGAAAAACAACCTAAGAGGAAGTTAGCAGAAATTCCGCCTGCTAAGCTCTGCATGTAAGAGCACAAAAGAATCACTTATTTTTAAAGGTAAAACTTTGATAAGCAAATTCACTTTGCACCCTTGAGAAAAAGCTAAAGATCCAGCTCTTTCAGGAACACCTACACACTTAATGATAGTAATGATGACGATAATGGTTTTGTTTGATAATGATGATTTTAGGATGGTTATTAGAACTCTCGAGAACAGATGTTGTGCTTTGCCTCTGTGCACTGCACGTCAGCAACTGTGTCCGATCGGACTTAAAGCTGTTTGTTTGCACTTTCTGACGTTGTTTCCTCCTCTGTCCCTCCTAGCGTATGTTGTACTTACTCTCTGATGTACGTCGCTTTGGATAAAAGCGTCTGCTAAATGATTTGTAGAATTGTATAATATTACTTCTTTAACAAAGGATATAGCCTCAAAAATATGTTACACTAGAGTTTTCACTATATTTGAAAGATTCATATTTGAACATTTCATCACAATCAGGTGGCTTTTTAGACCAAAAGGGTGCAAAAAGGATTGTTAGAATAATTTTTCCCATACTTCCCGCATGTAGCTCCTTCTGCCAAGCCACATTCCAACCAATCTCATGTTCAACCTCTCTTATTACATTTGAGGACTATTATCATCAAAACCACACTGGATTTTGTAGTTCACTTATCATTGTTCTCAATGGAAATGTACATCAGTCTGACATCATAGAATGGGTGCAGGAAAATAAAAACTGCACTTAGTCATGGTCGAGAGCAATGACTTAAACAACAACCACATTCTGCACAATGTGAACAATTAGAGCACAAAGAGAGAGGCATACCTGAGAACTCCAAAGCAGCACCATGACCCTCCCTGGTACATAGTCAAAGTTGAGGCGTTGAAAAGCAAATACACCCTCGATAATTAAAATAATTTAACTTAATGGAGTGCTGGTGATTTGTTAAGGAGAGGACACTGGGAAAAAAGATGTCTTGTTCCTCCTTCACAGAAACCTGTTATATCACCCACTTAGTACATCTGAAGTGTTGTTTTGATATCAGACATACGTATATTAGGTTTGGGCTGCAGCCAGATGATGGCACAAGGTGATTCTCTGTGTCTGCCAAAGCAGCTTGCTGTGGGAAAGGATGGTTGAAAGACTGATTTTACATCACAGTTATTTGGTGGAACGCCTTCTTTATTGTTTTTTTTTATAATACTTATAATATTTGTAGTATTTAAACAGACATGCCACCCTAAAGCAAATAATATACTCTGACCCTGTAGTGAGTAAGTTAACATGTCAGCTGTGTGGACGTAAGGTGTCTGTTAACAGAGGCCAAAAGCATTGACATACAGGAGGATCAGCAAAACCGGCACTTGCTCCTCTTGCACCCAAGTACCTCTACTAATTTTTTTCCCCACATCCTCTCTTTCTCTCTTGCTCGTCGTCAGGCTGGGGCGGGCACAGTACATTTAAATAGAAGTATGTGGTTTAGGGTGGGACACTAAAGTGATTAAAATATCTGTGCGTAATCACTCTGACCTGCATTGAAACGTATCATTTGCATAATGAAACTAAAGTTATCTAATGTAGCAGCACAATAGAGTTCAGCAGCAGTGAAGACAGAGAAATAGGCAGTGGTGCCAGGTGTCTGGAGAAGTGGGTATACTACAGGGCAGAGGAATTCATCAAATTTTAATTACAATTGCAATTTTAGCTTCCCAGGATCATGAAAACAAGAAAATCAAGGGTGTGCAATCGCCCTAGGTTTAGTCATGTGTGGAAAAAGGGTTTGTTGTCATATTTTGGCCACAAGAGTAAGTCACTTGAAAACATAGTTAATGCACTTTTATTTATTCATAATTAATGTTATTTTTATATTTTTTTCCCACTTATTTATTTTCATGTCTTGCTTGTTTTCAAAGTTTCTTATGAAATTAACATTAGTCACAGAAAAAGTTTGTTGTCGATTCTAATTCTTAAAAGAAATCTCAATTGGCCAAAATCTGAATCGGCAGGTCAGACCTTGAAAATATCAGAAATCTGCACTGACCAAAGAAATTTCAATCAGTGCATAGTCTTAATGAGTAAAACATGGAGTTTGATCTAAACCTGCTCTTTTTGCACAGTGTATTAAGTTAATATTTTTAATAATTTGGGATTTTCTAAATACAAATTGATTGATTGATTTGTTGATATCTCTAGCCATCCTAAATCTGCTTTAACAGAAGTAAGGCCAGTGTGTTAACTTCGCCCTTCCCAGCAGCCTGCAGGCTCCAATTATTCCACACAGTTCTGGTAGTTCAAGCTGTTAACACCTACTGTAAAAGCACAATCAGTTAGGGTCTTAGTCAAACTCACCTTTAGGAACAATGTTTTTATTTTCCTATCAAATGTGGCCGTGATGTGTTTTCCTTCAGAATGAGGGTGTAGTCTTTTCGCTAAGGAGTGATTAATGTGTGCTGTCTTGTGCAGCCCGGCTGGATAGTGCAACATCTCCACGGTCTATTGACCCTCTCTGACTCATGCAGCACACAGTAAAAATGAGTCTGCTCAGGACTCTTTATATACAAACAAGAGCCCATTTTAACAATAAAAGTTACTAAAGTCAGTACTCAGAACATTTAAAGAAGTCAATTTGCTGTTTTTGTCTTTTCATGGTTGGCTCATCACAAGTATTTCATTTTTTCCCAACACATAATGAAAGCGTGCAGCAACTTATTATCAAGCTGTCTGTGCTGTTCTTTATCTAAAACTTGAATACTGTTATCTGGGTGTTGCGAGAACATGTACACACAGACACACTCTCGTACTTAAAGTGCATACACCTCAGATAAAGAATGTGTTCTTACAGTTGTCATGTTGAGATTTATGATCCATTAATATGTCATATAGATCAAATAAATACCACATTAAAATGTATTTCTTCTTGCGCATCCAGTTAAAATGGTTTGTTTAAATTCAGGATTCCTTCCCGCTCAGTCTGGATTCTGAAAAAAGACGCTTCTTGGCAGTCATGTAGGAGAGCACAAGCAGCATACTGTACAAATGATCCTTTTGACTCATTTGGTTGCTTGTCACTCAAAGTAAACTCAAAGTGAGTTTATATAGTACATTTTAATTGCTGCACGATTGATCTAATTGTGAGACTGTGCAATTACAGAACCGCACAATATGCTGATATTTATGTATTTAAATGTGTGTATCTGTGTCTGTAAACATTACATACTGTCCTCTGATTGGTTTGAGTCTGTTTGGATAAACACCAGAGACTGCATGTTCCTTGATACTTTAAAATATAGTTTATTCTATCACAAGGGCAAATTTGCCAATATAAGAGAAATTGCAATTTCACCAAATCTTGCATCATTACATTTGCACTGATACACTTGAACACTTTAAATGATCAAATACAGCTACATCCTTTCAGACCAGCCATTATTATTTTAGGTATTTGTCTAAATTTGCAAGAATATTTCTGTTGTTGTTGATGATGAAGCAAACATGTATCTTAATCATGCTTGATTCTAAAAAAATATCAAACAGTTTGGCCCAAAAACAAAAATCCTTTCCATACCTTATAATAAAAAAAACATTCTCCCCTATACTCAAAATGTGAATCCACTTACATTTAAAAAAAAATTGAAGCATACATAATCTAGGACAGCGTAATTAAATCTAAATATAACAGTTTAATGACATACCAGGTCTCCATGGGAAACCTACCTTATTTTGTTTCAGGATGCATAAGAGGAGGAACGATGTTCGTCAATTTCTTTTGTTCTTAATGATAATGATTATTCCCAAAATGCTTATTAAGATAGAATAACTCTCTGTTCTCTGGGGTGAGTCAGACTACATTTACCTGTGCATAAAGACTGCACACCCTGTTCAACGCCCTTCTACCACAGATACTTTGATGCAGTCCTTTCAATCAAAAAGTATTTAATATCAAATAAAGAAGGTATTTAGAATATGAGAAAACTAGCCAGCAAATGAGAAAATATAATGTAAATCTTTACTGAATAATACACTCAAATCCAGGTCTTCAATGTTAAATATTTCTTCAAACATTATTACTCAATTGAAACTTTTGTTTCTTAATGTCCACACAATGCAAGCTAACGTCTGTGTATAAAAAAATGACGGGCCTTTTGATCCTTGAGGAAAACCCTTAGAAATAACAAACAAACATAACAAACCCTGTACACTCTGAGCCAGTGTGACAGCATACTGTGTTACAGGCTCATCCACTATCTTTAATGCAAGCTCTTCTTCATGTCCTGTATTTTCTGAAGTTCTCCATTGCTCTACCCTGCAGGCTGTTGATGCTCCAGGGCCGGCAGCAGTGATGCGGGCACGGATACTGGTAGTTCTGATAGAGAGGCACAGTCATTGGGAAGTGTAGTCCATTCACTTGATTCTGCTGCGTATGACTGTCCCTCACCAGAACTTTAACTGCCACTCTCTTCGGTGATCCGCACGCCGCCAGCTCGGCCACCATCTGCCGTCGTTTGGTTTTATATCTCCGGTTCTGGAACCAGATTTTCACCTGAGTCTCTGTGAGTTTCAGCTCTCCTGCCAGGTCTGCTCGTTCAGGACCTGAGAGGTATCTCTGCGCGTGGAAGCGACGCTCCAGCTCGTAGACCTGCGCGTGAGAAAAGGCCGCTCTGGAGCGCTTCTTGGTTCCGGGCCTGCCTTTCTGTCCGTCTGAGGAAGAGCCGTTGTCCCCGCTGTGCTGACATCCATCTTCCTCTGGTTCTGCCTCCTTTTTCTGCAGATCATTCGGATGCTCATGGTGCTGCTGCTGCTTATCTGTGGCACACAAATACAATAGGTGTGTAAGAAAAATCATTACATCACTGAAATGCGGGTTGGGAGCCAAAATGTTGATTGGCCAGTGTGGGGTTTTACCCCTTTACTTCCAGGAAGTCAGGGGATAATATAAAATATATTAAGAAATCTGTGGATAATGTCGGAAAATAAAACCCTATGGTTAATCTTTATGTATACTGGAGTATGAGTTTATTTCTCAAACAACAAAGTAAACTTTCAAGTAGCCTTTATATCATCACTTCTTACAAAAAACATAAATAATTAAGAATCAAATCAATAAACTCGATCACTTCAGGTGTTTTTTTTTTTTAAACTCTACAGGAACCTGTAATGGCAGCTACTAAGATGTTTGTGGTCCACAAATAAAGAAGACACACTCAGTAAAAACTGATTTCAAACTATATTTGTCTTTCATTGATAGAGGTTCCTCTGCGCTCTGAGATTTTACAGTTATTTAAGGTAGTCAGATTTTGTATTGTAAAACAAATCAGTGCTAAACTATCCCATCAAATATTTTGTCTTGTCTATAAAGGTGCTTCTAAATCGTACGTCACATTTCTTAATGCATTACATCGCAAAGTGATAGAACAGTCCAGCTCACCTTCTCCGTGTTTGGCCTCCTCTCCTGTGGACTCCTCACTGTAACCATCCGATCGTACATTTCCAACGGACTGACTGAAATCTGAAGGGAGTCTCCTCTGGTTGTTGGCTCTCTCATTCGCGTCAAGGTGATATAGATCCGGGACTCTTGTGCCATCATGCTCGAAGCTGATGGAGCGCTTTGGTGCGCAGAGCTCGTTTGCACTCCGGGTACCAGTCTTACCCCGGTAGTCACGTCCGGTGAGGATGTCTTTGATGGAGAAGGGCGAAAAACTTAATGTCATGATTGATTTAGGCTCACTCTCACATGTGATGTATTTAAAGGCATGAAGAGATCAGCTTCTCCAAAACAAAAGTCCTCAATGGTTCGCTCTTTCCACCGATCTCTTTGATTGCTCAAATGTAATTGTGGTTACCTAAGTCCTGTTTGCTAATGAACAGCCTGTATCAGGATCTGTCAAGTCTATAACAACATTCTCAGCAGCAGGAGCTGCTCCAGCTCACTTGTGATTGGCTCTTTTCTCTGTGTGGTAACTCCCTAGTGCCGCCCAGCTCCACGCTGCTCTCTGAGCTCCAAGTGCGGACGAGGGACGCAGATTTGGCAGAGGATTTATGCATCCAGTGTTGATATTTTTTCGACAATTTAACCAACGCAAGGACGTATTCAAATATGCAAAAAAAACTCCATAGCTTAATTTATCAAAACTCTCATGGTGGATAGGAGACCCTGTTCCGAATTAGAAATATTAACGTAAATATTAGGCATATGTTACGGACTCTGGGTGGATGTTATCAGCTATCACTTAAAAAAAGGGACCGTTTTAGCCACTGCTTTTGCCAAATATTAATTGTATGTAAATTGTAGTCAGAAAATCTGGTGCGTAAAGTTCACCAATCATGCGTAAAAGGAGCACATCGGCGCAGGATTTCACGTGAGGATTTAAATCTTTCCACAAATATTTAACTTCACATATGAGGTGTAAGTATTGTTATAGCTACATGTTTGATTGTCTACTTTATTACACAACGAACCATTGTTTTAGGAATGGCTGAATTGGCTTTCAGTCGTGTATACTTGACTCGATGTGTTGTATAATTTTAATTTAGCGGTTTTTCTGTGTCAAACATATTAACTATAGGTAGAGTATTTAGGTGCGGACGGATTAAATCCAGCCTGGTTGCTCAAACAGGAGAGTAGCGCCGCCGTGTGGTCGTGATGTTTTCAAAGTAAAGACATGCGTAAAAAAGGAAAGACACTTTGCATGTCGACACCACTCCCACTCCTCTCTCTTACTCACTTACGCGCACATGCCCAAGCATTACACAATCTGCAGACCTGCCCTTCATTGAGGAGACGCGATGACAGACGCAGTGAGCTGCCTCCTCTGTGTTGTTTTGTTTTTCTTCCTCTGACTAAACAGAGAAATCTCTCTGTTAGCCCTCAGAGCAGAAATCAGCTCCATGGTGTCAAAACACGCCCGGGTGGGAAACACTGGAGTTCTGATACACTTTGTTTTAAATTACGATTTCAACGCCACAATTATAAATATTTTAATTCGAGAAAACATTGTGAAAATTGTGTTTAGCATGGTTGTTATGATTGATGTTATACTATTGGTTGGAATCTCCGAATAAAGCAACATTTTCTACCCTCACACACCTTTAGATGTCTGCTTGATGGTCTGCGCCCAAATACCCCCCCCCCCTTTCTTTTGCCTATTTCCTCCTCAGCACACACTGCCTCTAGAACCGTCCCCTCATTTAAAAGATATATTACATGTCATGACTCTTGTCCATCAATTCATCTCGATGTAGTTTTTTTCAACATAGACAAATTAAGTGACTATTTGCAATAGCGAACCTGGATCAAATAAAGGGTAGATTTTTACTATATGGAATGTATTCTCACTGTATTGTAAGATCCTGTCTTACATTGACAGAAAAAAATCTGTAGTTTATTGCATGCCATTTTGGTAATAACAAAAATGTATCCTCAAAAGTGTAAGAAGTTTTGTAAAATTATGTTTCTATCATGCGTCAAAAGAATCTGTTAGACTATTTTTCGTTCATGTGTAATGAATTCAGAGCAAGTCGGTTTTTAATCTGTCCATGAATCACTTTCAATTCATTATAAATTTGACCCGATGTGTAACAGTTTTTTTTGCCTTATCCCTTAAATGTAAGTACCCCATATTAAAGGTTAAAGCTTGGACTATTTGGCTAAACCCCTGACAGTTTTCCTTATCCATCTGGTGCCTTTTTGGCGGACTAAAGACACTTAAAGGGCAACCTAATGGGAGAACCTTTCCTCCAGCTTCTTCACAAACTTGCTCCTCTTTGGGCTCTGGTGTTTTAGCGAGCTCCTTGAGTGGTTGCCATTGGAGACTTTGTTTTGGGAAACTCCACGCCTTCAGCGCAGCGATGAGCCGAGCTACTATCTTTGGAAGCGCGAGATAGCGATCACCGCAGCGCCTGTCAGAGCAGCCGTGTCCAGGCCGCGTCCTCAGGCATCGCCGTCCTGTCGCCAGCTCTATTTACACTAGTGACTGTGCAGCACTTAGAGCTGACACCAGGTATGTCCTACCGGCAGTGCGGTAGTCAGGGGGAAGTAGCCGGGGAGGCCATCAGAGGAGACAAACACTCTGTTTACGTTGCTATTCATCTCCATTAATAGTGTCTGTGTATTCGACCATGCCCAGGAGGTGAAGGTGTTTGTTTAAGTCCATCTGCAATCAACGGCGTGTTGTGTGTGTGTGTGTGTGTGTGTGCGTTTGTGCCTTCTCGTGCAAGTGAGTACAAATGTTGGAAAATAGTATACAACTGTTATAATTATTATTAAAGGTGCACTATGACGTTTTTGGTAGAGGAATGTGAAAGCTGGAGAAATGTACAGATTCTGTGGTATATGTTCATAACTCTATACACAAACTGTCCCTGGATGAACATTTGGTCCCTGTGACACTGTTTGAAGATAAAATGCTACGTGAAACGTTATGGTGGGTCAGCAGTGAAACGTAACTCTCCTGGAGCTTTTTAAAAAATCTCCAAACAGTGTCCCAGTGACCCATGTTTTCCTTGGATTAAAGTTTTTCTATTTCGCTCAGAAAATAAAGCATAGAATTATTTAACGTCTCCAACTTTCAAATTTCACTAATGCACCTTTACATATAGGCTATTATTGATATAGGATATTCTTCAATCAATTAAATTGTTGTGATTATTCTATTATATGGTGCGTAGACTTTAAATGTGGCTATTATATATTTATACGTCACGTATATGTTTAAACAGAATTTATCATCCAAATCTGTGTGAGTCTCTCCGCGCTGTGGGTCCCGAGGATGCTGTCTGTCTGGTTAATGTCCATCTCTGAATCCTGACCGGACCTTAGCTCGCCTCTAAATTCTCTCTGTTTCTGGTTCTTGTCTCAGACTTCAGCTTTCTCACAGGAAAAAAAAATCTTGGCTGAAGATAGGATTTTTGAGATAATGAGAAATGACTGCTCATATCTGTTTCAAAAGCATTAATACTAAAACAAGATCAGAGACGTCCCATTGGGCGTAAGAACGCAAAACTTTACAGAAAAGTAAACTTTATTTGTAAATGTTTCACATTCCCACGTATGTTAATGATATACACATGAAACAATCGCGTAACTTGTGTCATAATGTTTTATGACTCCTTTAATTTAATAATCACTGATAATAAACACTACGTTGGCATCTTCCCATAACGTGCGTAAAACACGTAGAAGCGTCCTTTGCTCAATCTAACATTTGGAGTAAAACAAGGGCAACTGGCCCAAAAATGGCCACATGTTAACAAAAAAAATTAAATGCTTGATTGCTTTATCCAGCAATTGTGACAAATTTGTATTTTTTTCCCAATTCATTTTCATTAGAGCCAATACGAATCATTTCGGGCTTCACTTTTACGCATAACTTCAGTTTAGAAAAAGATGCCAGTGGAGTTTTCCTTACTTTAATCCGCACATCACATCCATTTTGAATCATGAAGGACCACATTACGCACATTGTTCGCTCATCAGCACCATCGAAAATCAATCACGATGTTTAATACTTTTTTTATAAACACTGGCTCAGAAGAAAAACGCACAAACTTAAAGTTTTACATCATAATACGGGTTAGAGTTTCCTCGTAGGCCTGTCTTCAGCTTCAGTCCACTGGCCTGTGCTTTCTGTAATGTGTAACAGTAGGAAATTGTGCTTTCATTACATAAGTTGATCAGGTTCACATGCTTGTGGCCATTTACAGAAATCTCACTCAGCTATGATAGTGTGTAAAGTTTTCGCTACCATGCCCGGATGCCCTGCAGAGTTCCTTGGCAGGGTGTGACCACTGCTCCTTGGGGTCCCTGGCTTTGCGTCTGCGCGCCAAGGTTTCCCAGATTCATGTTCATAAAAGCGTTAGCAGCGGTGTTGCTGGGCGGCAGAGCAGGTAAACTAGAATAAGTACAGGAGTAACTGTTAGTGTACACCGTGTTGTTGTAGCTGTAGGCCGGGTAGCTGTTGTAGCTGTATGGGTTTGGAGCTCCCACTGTGTAAGACGTGTTATAGTTCTGGGATCCGCCCAGACAAGGCCTCCCGTCCCGGACCAGCACTGGTACAGCCACCCTCCTGGGCGGCGGTGGGTGATGGTGGTGGTGATGGTGGTGTCCTGCCATCTCCAGAGTCTTGTCCTGTCGCTGCCTCTTGCATTTGTACCTCCTGTTCTGGAACCAGATCTTGACCTGGGTAGAGGTGAGTTTGAGGGAGCTTGCCAGGTGCTCTCTCTCCGGGGCGGACAGGTAACGCTGCTGCTTGAAGCGCCTCTCCAGCTCGAACACCTGAGCCTGCGAGAAGAGCACGCGGGGTTTCCTCCGGGTCCTCTGCTGCTTGGTGACGGGCTTCTCCGGGTCTGGATCCTCACAGTCAGCCCGCAGTGCTCCGCAGCTCTCTGCGCAAAGAACACACGTTTTACTGTACACCATAACTAAGAAGATGCAGTCATGAAGTACTAAATGTATTCAACACTCAAGCACTTACCACTATCTCACACTGATATTCACATTAAGCTTACTTTAAATTATCTTTGTTATCATCCAACTTTGAAGAACAACACTTTTTTTAAGAAAATGTTTTCATTTATCAGAGAAATAAATATTCACATGACATTTACGTTTTTCTTTAAAATGAAGACCTTTTTAAATTCTCATATCCTTTAAAAACATTATTACATAATTTGCTTTCGTTATTTTTACCAGCATTTCCCCATTTTAAAAACAATGAAATTAATCAAAAGGTGATTTTAAAAGAAAAAATTAGGAGGAAAAAACTGAAATCGATTTTTCTCCATGAACTTGAAACACATTAGACACTGGCAGTATAGTCACACCCTGCCAACAGGCCTATTAGACTTTCGAGGTAAATTTACATAAAAGTTCTGCAGATTTTAGTGACGAATCAATTCCATTCACCCCCCCCCCCCTTATAAACGATGTTCAATCGAAGCATTAATTGTAAATAAAAAAAAATCCAAAACACTTAATGAACTTAAAGCTTCATAAAATATAGCAAAATGTCCATAATGAATTACAACTGATGCACAATGAAGAAATCGAGTCTGAAATCTGAGCAGATTCAATTTAGCAGAAATTCAATTGATCAGTACCCTCACACACACATTTATAGATTTGTACCTATTTGTTTTTATATTATATCATATTAACGAGCATGAATCACTACAGCAGAGCACTTGGGACAACTTCTTAATTTGTGCAAAATGTTAAATATTTTTAACAGCTATTTATGAATTAACTACTTTCATTCACAGATTTTCTTTTTTTTTTGGTGAAATATCTATTCATATCAGAACTATTAAGATTATCTCTCTTGTTCGAGAAAGTATATCTAAAGTTCAATGACCATTTGAGATTATTGCTGCTGTTTATGATAAACATTTTAAGACTCGAGATGCACTCACTGCTCTCTTGCTCCTCGTGCTCGGTCTCCAGCCGGAGCTCTGCAGAGCTCTGCGCCGGGTTTCCGAACATCTCCACGGTCAGCCCGGACTCCACCAGCCGCTCCTGCACCGCCAGCGTGTTCAAGTAGGACATCCTCTCCTCGCTCTCGGACATGCCAGAGCTGATGGGACTGGGACTGTCCCTGCCTGCCAGCATGCAGGAGGGCGGTGAATGAGAGCGGAACGGTTTGTTTGGGAAGGCTCCTGGCTGAGACAGCGCGCCAGAGAGTCCGAAGCAGGAGATCAACTGGAGCTGCTGCTGCTGAGATTGTTGCTGCAACTCCAATTTCAGAATGTCCTTCACAGAAAAGGGAGTGCTGGAAGAAGTTATCAGTGGACTGGGAAGCATTATGATCAGCAAACCAACAAATGACAGATAGAAAATGGTCAGCAAGCCCAAAATGTGTATCCGGAAGGCGCGTAAAAGGAGAAAACACCCGTCGCGTAGGCGTAAAGGATGATTACGCACTGCTTGTTTTCCATGCGGACCGAAGAGGACTGGCTCTCTTTCAGCTTTGACATCCCTCTCCTTTGGTAGTGTATGTGGCTGCAGGGCTGAGAGGAAAAAAGAGCGAGGCCTATCCTGTTTGGTTGGCTGGATTCAGTTATCTAGAGAGAGAGCTGGGTCAGTCAAGATGCTGTCCTCTCTCTTTCAGTGACGTCATAAAGCGGGGAGGGACTCACAGACTCAGCCTCTCTGCCTGTCTCTGTAGGTGTGTCAGGAAGACATACTGTATGTGCCTTTTATGAAAAAATATCAACACCATCGACTACCTCAGACTGTTAAAGGTGTTAAAGGTAAGCGTTTAAATTACACACTGGTGTTTTTCAAAAGAAACAGTAAACATCCACAACCAAAACAAAGACACTTTTCAATTTTACATGTTTAAAAAGTAATAGCCTAAAACCCTACATTTTGTTCAGCACCAAAGTGTATCATTGATCATCTCCTGAATCGTCCCACGGCCTCACAACTCTCCCCATCATCACTTCTTCGGTGCTTTTAAGATTAGGCATATCTTCGTTTCCTGTCTCGGCAATCCACGGATAAGATTATCTGTCGCAACTGTGTGGGGAAGTGAGGAAAACTTGGCAACTCAAAGACGCGTGAAGAATATAAATGTAGGGATGTGTCGTTTGTTAGTGTCTCCTTAATATGAAATAAGATTTTATATCCACTTAAATTTGGCTGCGATCAATTTCCTTTGACTTTAGGTCAGCAGGCTATTTCTAGAAGAAGAAAAAAAGTCAGAGTAGGCCTATAATATTTTGAGGCAGTTTGATCAGTTAAAAAAAAACTTTTAATTTTCATCGATAAACACAAATAAAGAAAAGCTACAAAATAGCTTCAATTCGATAATGTGTTTAGTTGTATTATTAATATAGTGTAGGTTATTAACACCATTATAATTGTTAATAGTAGCAAAAATGAATAAATTAATTAATACTTTAACTGCTACAACTAATAATTTAAATAATAATAATAAAACATGTTTTTTTCAAAAGTAGTTTAGCGTTTTGTTATTTGGCGGATGTCTCCAGTAGAATTCACAGATTAATGCTAACATATTTTTGTCAATATGTTTTCCATAGATAGATAGAAATAAATAAATAATTTGATACAATGTTTAACTTCTCTGTAGTGTTACCTTTGTGCCACAGGGCAAACAAACAGAAACGGGACACCTCTCTCCTGGTCGCATATCTGTGGCCAAGTGCAGGCGCCAGAGTCTGAAGGCCCATTGCTCCTAAACCGTGTGGAAAGAAAAGGAGAGCATGCCGACATAATCTCATCCGCTCACCATCAACAAGGAGCTGTTTAGATTAGGGCAGCGTCTTCCCCTCCTCTGGAGATCTATGTCTTCAAAATGGGACACTTAAAGTGGAGGAGAAGCTCAGAGGAAGGGGGGACTGTGTGTCTCCACAGAAAGACGACATTAGTGCGCAGGAGGCTTTAGCTATTAGGCAAAAAAAAATACAAGGAGATTTGAAAAGGTCATCTGAAGATGCAGTCTTTCTCGAGAATAACTCAAAAATACGATGACTGGAAATGATCAGACTGTCGAGGGTGATTTGGCACGAGTAAAGATGAATTCACGAGGACTTAAGAAGAATATATGGGCTCGTAAAATACTCCAAAAGGCAGTAAATCTGTTGAGTTAGTATTCCAAATATTTACCCAGGCTTGTTTATGGAGAGCAATGATTCAGAGACATCAGACCAAACAAAGAACTCAATTTAGACTACGTTGCATAATGACGACGACGAGTTGACTCGACTATTTAAACATTTTCGAGTATTAATTCAGAATTTTAAATGAGCTAAACAATGCTCACATATATATTTTTTAAACTGACTCCTCACAGGCCACGGCAGCAGTAAATTTAAAGCTTCACGGGTCACGGACGCAGCTTAACACGCTTTTTAAACCCTCAACACTCACGCATGCGCGTTGCCTCCACTGACCATCACCTATAGTGGTCCTCGCGTGCCACCGGCAGCCCCGAAAGTGGTCAAGCAGAGACGCGTGTTTACTGAGCGGAAGAGTCTGTTTCCTGCCTGTAACAAAACCCAGACTCGCAGAGAGTGTCAAGGAGCTGCTCAATGCGAGTCTCCAATACATCATCTTCATCCCAGAATCATCGCGATAAGCTGGGTGAGGTCAGGCTCAACGCAGAGGTCAGCACGAGAAGGCTGAACAGCTCTCAGCGTCTTTATTAGACGACTTTTAAAATAACAACAAGTTTAGGGGAGAGCAGGGAGCTTGTCACTTGTCACACACCTAATGTCAGAAGGCCTAGTAACAAGTGCAACTCGCTTTTCCCATACATTTCACTATTACTCATATGAGAGGACACATATGTTAGGATATAGGCTATCTTTTGACCTTAATGTTAAGAGGAAAAATATCGTTGACAACTTTTTTCCCCCATATAAAACTTTTAATCAGGATGATCAAATTACTTCTTTTTTTATGTTGTTGCAAGGAATAGGGGACAAATGAGGAGTTTTGATCTCTCAACCAAGCCCTGTTCCAAAGCTGTGTTATATCAGGAGACAGTATAGCCACTACTAGTGTAAGTTGTCTTGGTGTTTTTTTTTTGAGAATGCTTTTAGTGGACATGCAGCCACAATGGTGCAGCTGACTTTACAAACTGCTGCTGATGGTATTAGCTGTGTATTGGGTGAACTGTACAAATGTGTGTGTTGACATTTTGCTTCGCACAGCCTTGGAAGTATAGGCTGTAATAGTTATGTACATGGCAAAACTCCCACATCGGGAATTCACTGTGGAGGCAATCACATGCGTAGCACTAGGTCACTTCTTCTTCGTCATTTTTACGGCTTTTAAATTTTGGCAATTCAAAAGCCAGAGTCAACCAGCCTTACTGTGCACTTGCGCATATATTTAACAGGTTTATTGACAGTGCTCTCTTTGAGAACACAGCAGAAGTTCTGTCAACCAATATTGTCAGACAACAGATGTTTGGAACTTGGAGAAAAAAAAAACTGAAGTTACTGCTGTTCACAGACAAGACTGAGTGGTTTTTGTGAGCCTCTACAAAAGTTGTTCTTATAGTTAAAAAACATAACTTGACAATTAACCTGCTGACAGTGCAATCTTGTCACAAATGGACATTCTGTGCCTGACCATTTAGAAACCAGGAAAACGTTTAGAGGCGAGAATCCTAATATTAGTTTTAAGTGGCCAAGTATTTATTATTGAATCTTATATTGATAATAAGAGGTTGCAATGTTCTGAGACAGAAACTAAAGTGAAAGCAAAAAGTTTGACAAGATGCCCGGAGTATCGCTACTTTGATCCTTTGCAGTAGTAGTCACATTTCAATCATTCCTCTCAATTCACTTTCTAGTGAGTTCTTCAAAGTTGGTGTTTTGCCAGGCAGTGCTGAACATGTCGTTTCTTGTCCCTCCCTCTCTCCATGTGACTGGCAGGCTAACCTGTTGAAGCAGTGTCTTCTCCGCAGAGTGGCAGGTGTACACCCATATCGCTGGTTGATCTCTACGGTGAAGGACGAGGAAAAATGAGATGAAACGGCCCAAAAGACTGCCGTTAGGACAGACGAGATACGAATGACAAAACCAGGAAAATGCAGTGACAATTTGAAACATTGCTGCAGTATGCAAATGTCAACAAATGAATTAACATATTGAAGGCAACAGACGTGCACCAGGCCTGCAGGAGGCACTGATTGGAAATGCTTTGCAAATTTTTTTTTATGAAGAATATAATCTGCAAATAATTGGATAAATTAATAAAAAAGTCCCAAACTATTTACTCAAAGATCTCCTCACGGCAACCTTTTGGGCCTTGATGAGCATTTTCTCTGGTGGGCCACCGTACATTTTAAACCCAGAAAAGCAATCCACTCATTGATGCAGGATTGAATGTTCTCTAAAGACCACAGATCCCTGAACACACAGAATGAAAGTCTGATGACTCTGTAATGACTGCAATTATCTTCCCTCTGTGGTCTCTGCTTCTGTAAAGTCGAGAGGCGGTTCGTATCTGATGGTTTTACCCCAGTAGTAAACTCTGTGTGCTCTGTGTAAAGAAAGTGTCAACACCTCCAGTGTCTGCTGGCACACTGTACAGGTCTTGTGTAGCGTGTGGGTGTGGGTGTGTGTTTGAAAGAAAGGGGTTGTGTTTTTATTATGACCTGAAAGAGCTTTGTAGAGGAGCACTTAACATGTTTCTACAAAGGAGCTGGTTGTTTACTAGGTGTTTCTAAAACAGCAGAGATAATGAGGAACTAAAGTATGACTATGTTTTTTGTTTTACACTGCTAATGGTAAGCTAAAAGCTCAAGTATGTGCCTGATCTGCTTTTTGGTGCTGGCGTGCTTGTATTAGACATCTAAAAGGCTGTGAGAGCTTTTCCAGATTACTAGTTATTTATTGGCCGGTCAGTGTGTTTTCTACATGATGAGCCCACTATATTTTACTCGACCCCTGTTGAAAACCTCAGAAATGAAATATGCTGGCGCGCTGGTGGCGCAGTGGTTGGTGCGCGCACCCTCATGTATCGAGGCTGTAGTCCTCCAAGCGGACAGCCCAGGTTCGGGTCAGGCCTGTGGCTCCTTTTCCGCATGTCATTCCCTACTCTCTCTCCCTGATTTCCAACTCTATCCACTGTGCTGTCTCTCCATTTAAAGGCACAAAAAGCCCGAAAATAAATCTTAAAAAAAAAAAAAAAAAAAGAGATGAAAGAGTCAGAAGAGGCTTTCACACAAACACAAAATTTGGGGTGAGCTGCATGTGTGAACACAAAGATGAGCAGACAAATTCTTTACTCTGACTCTACCCTGAATTTTATCCTGCCAGCCCCAAAGTAAATTGAGTGGATTGGTTTTTCTTGGATTCAAGTCTATGGTGGTCCACCAGAGAAAACGCTTAATTGTCCGTGTGAAGTCGGGTAGAGCTGATGTGAGAGCACAGCTGGAAATATTCAAGAAAATTAATTGCAATCAAGTGGGAGGGGGTGATGACGTTTACATCCTGCGGCCGGCACACGACCATATAGACATTGTAGCCTGTGATCGGTGTGATCTCTGTCCCATCCGTCCAACAGGGACAGTCTCCCTCTGTGTGGGACATGTGTGAACAATCAACTCAGGAAGACTTCAGGG